AACGGAACTGCAGAGAGCGTGGGGGGTGAGGGCGGTTTTTCTATCCAGGGCGGCTTCTGCAGGTGTCTCGACAAAATCCTCTTTCCAGGTAGGCAAACAGCCCCGTTGGTAGGGCTAGCAAGGACAGCAGGAGTAAGCGTTCTGGGGAACGGAGCATCGATTGAGGACCGCGGGTCGTCCACGTCTGATATTTTCTCTGTATAGAGCAGTGGTTCCTAACCTTGGCTCCTCAAATGTTCTCGGACTACAACTCCCAGAAACCGAGGCCAGCACAGCTGACGGTGAAGGTTTCTGGGTTACCCAAAGTTGGGAACCACAAGTATAGAGGGTGAGATGGGCGCTGGGAGTTTTTCTAGGCAGCTTATGTTTCCCCTAAAGCTTATCTTTTCGCGAAGCACTTGTGGCCTTTGAACAAGATCCCAAACCAGCTGCTGCAAGTGAGGTGGAAACGTCGGCGCTCGATTTTCGCACCCTGTAAGGTGCTGTCTGGGCGAATCCAGGCTGGCTATCCACCGCAAAATATCCCCGAAGTATATACAAACAACCCCATACAAAGCCATTCACCTCGTGAACTAATCGGCAAAGGGAATCCAGCCCTCTCTCGTTGTGTTCAACAGCGAGGTGTTGGAGCAGGCGAAAAATAAAAGTTGCCTGTTCTTTCATATGAAAAGGTGAGCTGTCGGCGCACGAATTTATCGGAAAAAGAACACCAATCGCACCAGAATTCTTCTCCCGGTAACTGTGGTGGGCGCTTCATTATGTGAACGGACGGCAAACAGGCTTATTACATAAGTAATAGGTGAATGGCAAAGAGATTCAGCAGGAACTGGAGTCCTTTGGAGCGGTTCTCGGGATTTGAAACCTAGCAGCAAAACTGAGGGTTTGTTTGAACTCTCCTTTTAACGTGGGACAAATAAAGGGAACAGCGAGGAAAGAAAGTTACCAGCTAAAATCCTGTCGCAGGATTTGCGCAGTAAATCGCACCTAGAGTAGGCCCATTTAAGTCAATGGGATAAGGTGACTCACCAGATCCTACTCCTATGCAATTTCCCACGGTAAGCAACACGTTTTCGGTCTCTGACTAAAAGCCAAGTAGAATGGGGCAGTTTGGGTGCGGAGAAGAACGCCCCCAGACATTTTGATACCTTGCTCGTAGTAGCATGACTTACACTGTGGTGACAGCTCAAGTCGCTTGAACTGAAGATTCATAAACCTGCTGAAAGGCTGGGCGTTTTGGTTACACATTTTTACTTTGGCAGTGAGTGAAGTTTAGCAGCCCAGACTTATATGTGAAACAATCTGTATGATCGCAAGGGGTCCCCTCCTATAGCTTTCGGGCCAGAGTCCTCGGATCAGAGCTGCGGGGACAGAAAGCGCCTCGCCTCGCCTGACTGACTGATCGGCTCCCACAGGCGCATCCTGCTCTTCCTTAGCAACAAGGACCGCTCCCACGCAGGGCGCCCAGCAGAGCAAGACAACCCGCATCAGCTGGGCAGACGGAGTTGGTGGCTTTCCTCCAGGGCGCTCCTCTTCCTCTAACCCTCGGGTAGTTCAACTCCCCCCCCCAAGCACCAGCTCTAG